AATGACGCAAATAAAACAACTTTTTCTCATTGAAGAATAAGGAGCCGCACGCGTGAGGCGGCTGAAAGGACCAATGCTGACACACTCACTCACACGCAACAACTTTTAACAGGGCTGAAAGAGGAACTAGTTCACAGGCTCGTTTAAAATTACTTAAATTATGTTCAGTGGACGTCATTTATACAGGTGTAAATTTTTTACGACCGTTCACATCAGATATTGTTTAATCTGGTGGTGAAAGTGAACAAGCATTTTATTCTTTAAGGAAATTGTAGAAGCTCACAGACATTCCTTGGAGCGCATGATTCCATGCCGGATCCCCGTCTCCAGAATATACATCAAAGCAAGTGGGTTCCCTGGAAGCAAATGGGGTCTCTGCAGAAAATGCTTGGGAGCGTGAGGGGTCGGGGGTATTATACATACATGTATGTGCTTTGCTGAAGTTATGTGTGCTTTGCTGAAGTTGAAGACTAGTTTTCTCTCTAGCAGGTCATTGGTGTCTTCTTGCAATTATTCTTATTCCTGGATCGGGTCTTGATATTGCAGACATTTCTGGACCTTAGTATTCTGCATCTTCTTGGACTTTTCAGAACCCTCCCTTCCGAGTGCACGTGTCTCCCAGGAGAGCTCAGTACGTATTCTGCAGTTGTGCACAGGACTGCCATGCAGTTACTTTGAAGATCGCCCGGTGGTGGTGATGGTGGGTGGGGATCCTGGCTTGACGTTCGAGATCTTTTTGGTAGTAGATCCAACGGGGCAGTCTACACCGAGGGTCCCTTCCCTCTCGTGTTTTGCGTTGACTTCGGCTGGGAGAGCGCTGACAGCAGGATCCCCCAGCGCTCTTCCCCACCCAGCATTGTTGGCCCCTCGCTACCCCAACCCTTCCCAAGTAGTCTCGTTAATTCCCGGTCAGCAGAAGCGGCCAAGGGTCGCGTTCCCATCCCGCCGCGTTTATGGGTTGCAAAGATGCAGACAGCCTTGCTCTCCCTCCTCGCCGGTTCTCCTTCTCTGACACTGGGTTGTTCCAAGGTATCGTGGACATTCTTCTTTCTCCCTTGAATTGCCACTTAGCTGCCCTCTAGACCCCTCTTTTAACATGAACGTAAACCCAGCCGGCCTTTGGGTTCAGCCCGAACAGGCCCCACTCGTCGGCGGAAGTGGAGTTATTAAAGAAGTCATCCAGACGATACAATCAAACACATTTTCTAGTGGGTTTTGGCCTGAAACACACAAAATTCCCTTCATCCCCTCCTCCCTCCTTCTGCGAATATAGAATTGGCTTCCTGTGGCTACACTTGAGTATCCCGACCTTTTAACGTTAATATATCTGGGGAATAATAGTTATCACCCATCCACGACAGAGTGCTGAATTTAGGTACACTTAGCTGAGATTTCATTTGCATTCCTTCTGTGAATTACTCTGAATTTAGTGGCTGCTCCTTCATTTTAAAACAGAAGTACCAACGCACTAGGCGTCTGAGTCCAGGGTTAGATCGAGGGTAGGGTGGGCAAGTGCGTGGTGCAGGCTGAGTAATAGTAGGAGCGGCTAAAAACAGTAACTTGAGAACTGAGGCCCTTGTTTGCAGGCTTAAAGAAAGTCAAGGGGTGGAGAGGGGTGCGTCGCCTTCCTCACCCCTACCCTTTTTAGCCCTTTTTGAAACCTCAGAATTTGCCAAACCGCTTTCATTTGTTTTTCAATTAAAATGCAAATCATTCGCTTTCAAACACTGTCCCCCCAAATATATATATATATTGTTCAGAGACGCGGGGGGCGGGGGGCGTCGCGACCACGTGTGACACTTTCCATTCCTAGGGGTTGCTTAGAAATGTCGGACTTTATTAGGTCGTGGGCAGAAGCGCGCGCGGGTCCTGGGGGTTCCCCGAGGGAGAGAAGTCCGGACTCTCTAGGGCGTGTGTATGTAGTGTGTAAGATGGCCCCGACCGAAAACCGGCCTCCCGCATCCGCGTCGGGATCTGCTCCTCCAGGACGCTGTCCTGAAGGAGGTTTTAGCTCTGGAGGGACAGGGCTATCTTTCCCCGCGAGAGACTGGGGCAGCCCACCCCCTTCGAGGACGCCCCTCGCTCTCCCGGCTCCCAGCTGGAGACAGACGGAGCAGATCGATGATGACCACCAACACACCAGGCAAGAGGCACCGGCCTTCCTTCAGCGCCTCGCAGCGTGCGTCTGGAATACACACTGCCCCAAGCGGGATTCAGGCACCCGGGGTTCACCCCCCGGGGATCGAGGTACACAGACCCCAAATTTTTTTTACTGTCACAATTAAGAACAGTGCTGCTATTTTAATTCCCCAATGTGAATGATAAGTAAAAGCAAACGATTGAGACTTCTTACCCGTACCCAGTTTTGCAACAATTTACCGATGGCAATTAACCCGGAGTTGGGTGGAGTTGAATCAATCTCTCCTGGTGTTGGTCTGTCTCTTTGATTTTGCTCTGTCTCTACCTCACTCACCACAAATCTGATACTAAATTTACAATAGGAAAATGCTCAGTTCTTTCCCGGGTCACACTATTTACATGAAATAAAGGGGAGTAGTTTTTTAAAATTGGAATCTTTGGGAATCACTGGCCTCCTTTCCTCTCCATTCCTACCTAGTCCTTGAGAATGCTGTGAGGAATGCCGGGGATATGAGGAGGTGGCTGGTGGCCAAGGAGCGCGGTCCAGGCGGAAGGTTGTGTGCCACCTCCGTATTGGAGACTCCCGAGGCGAGAAAAAGTTTCGTTTTCAACGAATCGAGAAGCAGAGGACCCCAACACTCGGGGCAGGGCCGGGCTACACGCTCCACTCTCCTGCAGCAGTCTCCCGGCCTGTCGAAGGGGCACGGCGCTGGGGTTTTAGACCCATAGCCCAGCAAAACATCCTCGCAGGGAAATACAGACAGCCCCCTCATCATCTCTATTCTTGCTCTACTCAGCATAATTCACATTGAGGAAAGACTTCACCTTCCCCGGAGTCAGATTCTAAGGTCTATGAGGTGATGGGTTTAGCCCAGTCTTGAAGTTAATGAAAAAGCGTCGGGAAGCAAGAAGGGAACTTTACTTTTATCTCAGAAGTGAATAATAAAAGTGGCAAAAGATAAACAAAAACTCCTCAAGCTCAAGCTCAAGTTGCCACCCTTAAAAGACCAGTGCGTCGGAAATGAAGGTTATCAAAGCGGAATAATCCCTCTGGCTTTTGGTGCTTGGATGCAAATGAGTGCTTTTGGCACTCATAGCCAAACACCAACCAAACTCCAACTGGGTGGTGCCGCTGGAATTTTATTCCTTTATTTATTATAGCTGTTTATTTCTATTTTCTGCGAATTAAGTTTGGACTTAATGTTCTCATCGAAATTACTCTAGCCACCAACCCTCAATGGTGTGTTACTTTAATATCTTGAAATCTCTAAATTGTTCAAGGGTCCTCCTCCCCGTCTACACAGCTCAACCCTGCTGGAAATGTAAAGATCTCCAGGGATGGAAGAAATTGAGAGGAAATAAGGGAAACCACCCTCCAACTCAAACCCTAGACATCCCATCACCACAGCGCAGAAGCCGGAACATCTCCATCTCCCGAAACAACCCTGGCCTTGAGAGGAGGAGTAAGAGTTTCGGCGACGGTTTTCAAAAACTTACAGTGGATCGGGGGGGTGGGGGGGGAGGGTGTAACCAGGTACTTCTGTATCTAAAGACTCCACCTCAATTTTGGTGATTCTGCCCCCGTAATACTCAAAACAAATAATAATCACAGGGGAGCAAAGTTAAAAAAGTTCACAGCTCTAAGGTCGAAACATCACACGAGGAATAAATATTCCCAATAAGCTGATTCCGTTCCCTGCGAATTGAGTAAACCTATAAATGATAACATCGTGTGTGGGGGGGGGCGCGGGGGGGACCCAGGAATGAAAAGAAAATGAAGGAGAAGGAACAGCGAAGGAGAGCGGGAGGTGGCAAAGACGGAAAAGGACGATGCTTCGGCCTACAAGAGGATTAAGGACATCTATAAGGCTTAAGGAGCAACAAATTAATTTACACAATCCTGGGAGAGCCCAGATGGCCTTTAATTAATCCCTTCAAAAGAAGGAGCCAGGCCAGGGCTACGCCGGCTGCCTGCTCCATTAGCTCCATTTTACAAGAGACCAGACTCTGTTCGAGGTGAGGCGTCGCGAGCTAGTGGGGAGAAGGGGGGTAGGGTGACGCGAGCAGGCCAGGGGGAGGCGAGGGAAGAATATGAACTGCTTTTCCATAAAAGGGTTGGGTTTCCATTATTCTTCTCTTTAAAAAGTAATACCCTCTTCATCTCTGCTCCCCCCCCTTCCCGTTTTATTTAACACAATTAATTGAGGCGTCCACTGGGCCAGCGGCCGAACCTCACCACTCGCCAGGCCCCGCCTCCGGGCCCCACCCACAGGAGGGATGGAAGTGGGAGGAGGCGGGAACGAGGCGGGCGCGGCCCAACGGCTCGTCCTCCTAAGCCAATCAGAAGGCGCGGCGCTCCCGAGTGGGCGCGACCCGGAGGCGACGCGAGGCCCAAGGCTGAGTGCTATTGGAGACGGTGGTTACGCCCCCCGGCCTGCACCCCGCTCCTCGGCCCCGCCCTTGCCGGCCGCCTCGGAGTGACGTCCTTCAAAGTTCTCATTTTGGATCCCCATTTCCCCCTCCCTCTCGTCCCCCAGCTAAAGAGGGGTAGGGAGTGATGCAAATGTTTTATTACCTTTGAGAGCTTCATCTGAACTGTCAGGCCCGAAGGGAAAAGGAGAGGAGAGAGAGGCAGTGGAAGAGCCGCGGAGAGGGTCAGCTTGGCCAGAGGACAGGACTTAGAAGAGCGAAGCCTGTAGAGCCGCGAAGAAAATGCGAGAGTGGAGAGGCAAAGGCGGAGAGTGAGAGGAAGAGAGGGCGCTGGGGGTGGGGGGTGGGGCCGGGGTCGCCAGGCCCGTTTTCAGAAGTGGACAGACGAGTGGAGCTGTAACCGAAGCCGTCAGACTTTTCACTTAGTCTGTTTTTCCGTGTTTTTCTCGCCCTTTTTCTTTTCAATATTGCAACTCTAGTGCCCCGTGGCCCAGAGGGGAAGGCAGGTCGGCGCGCCGAATCCGGGAGCCGCAGGGATTGGTGGCACTGCCCTTTCTGGCACAGAAGCCTCGGGCAGCGCTGGCGGAGGAAGCCCGCCCAGAGGCCAAATCCTCCCGCGGGCTGGATGCTCTCTCTCCCTTCGCGCTCCGAGCGCTGAGTGCGAATCAACCTCGTGGCCTGAAGAGCAGGGCATCCAAGTAAGATTGGACGAGCTCATCGGGCGGAACCCGGAGTCCTTTGAATCTCCCCAAAGAAAAAGAGCCAGCCCCCACTCTCCCACATCAAAGCGGAGATTCGGTGACTCTTAACTTTGTTACAAGCTCTCTGGGGCCGGCTGGGGTTTTGTTTTGCTTATTTCCAAGAGGGAGAAGATGAGAAGTAGCGCACTTTGAGCGGCGAGGAAAAAGTGAGGAAGAGAGAAGAGCCCGGGATTGAATCCGGGACTCTAAGAGGGAAAAGACAGCCCAAACCACCTGGACCCTCGCTGGTCTCGGCGAGCCACCGCCTCTCGACTGGTGTGTTTGGACATTTCTGCTGCGCAGTTACGAGAGCAACTCTCAGCGGCTGCATTCTTGGCCCAGTTGGCAGGTCGCCTCCTGGTGTGCGGAGCGACTCCTCGCTCGCGCCCTCGGCGCTTCTAGCTCTCCTGAGCCCCTCCGGGGGCACCGGCCGGCGCTCCCGCTGCGTGGCTGCGGGCTCCGGCCTGATCGTGGGATGTTAGCTGTGGGGGCGATGGAGGGCACCCGGCAGAGCGCGTTCCTGCTCAGCAGCCCGCCCCTGGCCGCCCTGCACAGCATGGCAGAAATGAAGACCCCGCTGTACCCCGCCGCGTACCCCGCGCTGCCCGCCGGCCCCCCCTCCTCCTCGTCCTCCTCGTCCTCCTCGTCATCACCCTCCCCGCCTTTGGGTTCCCACAACCCAGGCAGCCTGAAGCCCCCGGCCGCGGGGGGGCTCTCATCCCTGGGCAGCCCCCCGCAGCAACTCTCGGCCGCCACCCCACATGGCATCAACGACATCCTGAGCCGGCCTTCCATGCCCGTGGCCTCAGGGGCAGCCCTGCCCTCCACCTCGCCCTCCGGTTCCTCCTCCTCTTCCTCGTCCACCTCCGCTTCCTCCGCTTCGGCCGCCGCGGCCGCAGCTGCGGCCGCTGCCGCCGCCGCCTCAACCCCAGCGGGGCTGCTGGCCGGCCTGCCCCGTTTCAGCAGCCTGAGCCCGCCACCGCCGCCGCCCGGGCTCTACTTCAGCCCCAGCGCCGCGGCCGTGGCCGCCGTGGGTCGGTACCCCAAGCCGCTAGCCGAGCTGCCCGGCCGGACGCCTATCTTCTGGCCAGGAGTGATGCAGAGCCCGCCCTGGAGGGACGCACGCCTGGCCTGCACTCCTCGTGAGTACAATTGACTGCGCCCAGTTGTGCTTGTTCTGCCCGCTCTCAGGTCATGGCCCCTGGTGTGCATGCCGAGTCCACCCTCTTGACTGCCGAGTAGTTTGGCAGCGCCAGAATCGCACGAGTTAGGTTGGGCCAGGGCGTTCAGCGAGGAACTCTCGCTGTCCTGAGCTCCATGGTTGCGTCCAAGCGCCCCCCTCTCCCCAAGCCTTGGGCACGCCTTGCGGAACGGGTGTGCATGCGTCTCCACGGAACACAATGTGGTGCGGGGCGTGTCTCATCCGAGGCCCTGGCTGCTCCCGGAACAGCCCGGCCAGAGCCGCATGCCCGTCCTGGGTTAAAGAGGTGGGGAGGGCAGGAAAGGCTACTGTGCTCCAGCCCGCACCCCAGCTTTCCAGTGTCCCATGCCGAAGTCCCACTCGACCTTCGCCAGCCTGACTGGCCTCCTCTCTACGAACCGGTGGGGACCGGCAGCGACGAGCCCTCCACAGCCCTGAGCCGAACGCATGTGTTTGCATGTACATCTCGGTCCAGGGTGTCCCCACCTCACCTCGTCGCCCTCACCACCGCCACCCTCGTCCCCCGAGTACGCTCAGCCCAGGTGAGCCCACTGAAGAGAGGTCCGCGGCCCGTGGAGGAGGGCAAGCACCACTTTGGGCCGCTCCCCACCTCTGGGCCCTCGCTTTTCCACCTGCCTCGGCCCCGGACATATTGAGGGGCATCGTGGCTCTCAACATCCTAATAAGAGAAAGAACCGGAGGAAGAACGAGGTAACAGGACAAAGACGGGGGAAAATGCAACATCCCGCAAAGATCTTGCTCGAAACTGAGTTACCCCAGGATCCCCCTAATCTTATAGGTAGTTGGCCAGCGCGCCGCGGAAGCTCCCATACTCCCAGGTGGCATTTAGGGGCCAGTCCCCTGTCCTTTTCTCGCTCTGTTCTTTGCTTTTGACCGAGTCCCCGAAGTTTCTTCTGTCTCCTGATCTCTTTCGTGTGGCTGAGCGGCAGTAACTGAGGGAAGCTGGGGGAGCCAAGCGGAGGCTCCCTTCGGAAGCCTCGGGACTGGGGCGGCCGGGGCGGGGGCGGCTGTCGGGGAGACGTTATTGTATTCGTTTGGATGGCCACGTAGGGACCGCCAACAAAGGCGGCGTCCCCTCCCCCTCGGCCGCAGCGGCGTTCGACGCGGGGGCGATTTAACTCTCTTGTGTTCCAAAAACAAGGCGCTCTTTGTTGCGCGGGCACAGGTTAGGAAAGCGGTCAAGGAACGAAACTAGTCACCCCCACGCAAAGGCCCCGGGACCGAACGAGCCCCAACTAGACGAGGCGGTGAGAGGGGACTTTCCCACACCCCCTCCCCCCCCGTACCCACATGCCTTAATTTACTGGGCCTAGAGATTGGGCCTCGGCAAACTTCAGCAGTGCGCTCCCTCTGTTGGACGTCGTTGGGCAGGTTATTTACTGCGGCTCCAAACACACGCGCTTTTAAAACACAGGTGGGTGTAAGAAGGCAAAGCGAGAAGCGCAGTGGGACTGCAAGCACCACGGCACTTCTCGTGCCCGCCGCGGAATACACTTGCCTTTCCCACCACAACGTTGTTTCTGGAGTTCGTCTCTTCTCAGCGGAGCCGCTCGTAACTGGTTGTTTCCCCCCTTCCTTTCTTTTTTTAATCTGTTCTCGTAGATCAAGGATCCATTTTGTTGGACAAAGATGGGAAGAGAAAACACACGAGACCCACGTTCTCGGGCCAGCAAATCTTCGCCCTGGAGAAGACTTTCGAACAAACGAAATACTTGGCGGGGCCCGAGAGGGCTCGCTTGGCCTATTCGTTGGGGATGACGGAGAGTCAGGTCAAGGTGAGTGGACCTTGCAAACCTCGAGGGAGAGCTCTCCCATGTACGTCATGCGCGCGCGTGTGCGCACACACACACACACAAACACACACACACCAAACTAACAAACAGCCGCCCGAGGGTGCAGTCCGAGAAGCAAGGGGAGCGATGAGATCAGCGAAGGGGGTGGAGGGGGAGGTTACAAAGCTCTGGGATCTCTCGGGCAGGCAAACTGTTGATGAACAAAAGGAATCAAGCCTCCGCCTTTGAAATTAGGTTCATCTAGATAGCAGCATGTGCTGGGGGAACTCGCCATTATTAGAGAATAAAAGCATTACGGAAATATCAGCCCTGAGAATAGACCAGGCCAGTTAGATAGCTTCTATGTATTCTACTTGTAAGGATATTCAAGCTTTTGTTTGTCAACTCAGTCTCCACTAGTTATATAATTCCCTAATGTAGATCAGCATTATAGTGCTACTGTATTAACTTGCAGGTTAAAAAAACCCCAATAAATCCACAAGATCTAACCACTTAGCATGGATGCATCTGCTTTTAGCTTACCTGAGGCAGCCACTTTGGAATAGTACTTTTCCAAATGAAATGACAAGATTATTACTGTATTATGAAATATAAGTTTATCAATAGATGTAAGATGTTTTACTGTTTATGACAACAAATTATAATTAAAATGTCACTTACCTTATGATTGAGTTGTACAGTGTATTTCCACGGAATCAAATTGGAGAAATCTTTCCCTGAAATATAAAGGGATTGGTTTCCTATATTTCTGGTATTCTCTTTTGTTCCTCTTTTTCATTATATTATATATATGTATGTATATATATATTTTTTGGTGTGTGTGTTTAAGTCTGTTTCCATTAGTTATATTGTTGCTTTTAAAATTAAGTAGGGATAACGTTAGCCATATCTGCTGGTCAGAGAGTATTTCCCCACAGATAAGCACCATAAAATGCATTTCAGGAGTGATTTTGTATGTTACCATTAGAGTACCATCACAGTTAAAATTATTTTTGCAGTGGTTGGTACAGAGCCTACCACAGTAATCTGGAGGTCTTCATTTGTCACCAAAATATGTCGGCGTGGCTAGAAGTGAATTATTATAGCTGTATAAAGAAACTAAAAATCACTTTCTTAACAATTCTGATTCTCTAGATAAATACATAACGGATGAGAAAATGGATGAGAAGCATAAAGAGAGGATGATTCAATATGTTTGGGAAATTGGTTGCTATTGCTGATGCTTTAGGTTAAAATATATGTATGAAACACGATGTCAAACATCATGAATAGGTTTAAAATATTTGTATAAAAATGAATCTCTTAGGGAGGGACAATATTAAAATAATATGTGAAAGATTAGGCATGCTAATAGTGGGAAGTAATGTAACTGGCAAAATTTCACTTAAAAAAAATAACTGATGAAAATTCTTACTTTGACTTCGGTTTTATGAAAAACATTAAACCAGAGAGACAGAGAAAGACACACAAACTACTATGATGATTTCAACTTTTAAATATTTTCAAATATTAAATATTTTCATGCATTTATGTTGGTTATTATTACTGATTTGAGGTTTCTGTTTTAGCAGATTTTTTTTTTTAAAACTTTACATCATACATTACAAGTGTAAATGGGGAGGGGAGTGTTTACCTACCATATTTGTGTGTATTCAGACCTGAAATAAGTGAAACAGACAAATACCCCAAAGTGAAAAGAACAGAGGTAATTGGAGTAAATGCTGTGTCTTCTCCCACAAATCACACTAAAAAGCCAGTACACTTCAGATTGCTTGAAATACCTTAATCTAAGAAAGTTAAAAACGAATAGAATCGCAGTCATTATGAGGCAACTTTACGAAAGGGAAAAGTTTTCTACTTCAAACGAGAAAGTAGGCAAGCGAACTCTTTTAGGGAAACTCATTTTAAGTTTCCAAGTTTTTTTCTTTTCTGAGAAATCACTCCCTGACAACCTCAATACTCTTGTGTTACCATCACTATGGCAACGGCAGTCAGTTTGTTGGTGCCTGATACTCGGAGGAAGCTGGGGCAGTGGAGACCGACTTCAACGGCCCAGACCTGGGAGGACTCTGAGGGAGGGTGTCAAGACGTCAGGGGCCCGCAGGAGCGACTGCGGGATGCGGGAGAGAAGGCATTGCCTGGCTCTGCTCACCTTAAATTCCTTCCGCCCCTGTCTCGCCTCTTCTCCGCTTTCTCGACCCCCAGGTTTGGTTCCAGAACCGCCGGACCAAGTGGAGGAAGAAGCACGCAGCCGAGATGGCCACGGCCAAGAAGAAGCAGGACTCGGAAACCGAGCGGCTGAAAGGGGCCTCAGAGAACGAGGAGGAGGACGACGACTATAACAAGCCCCTGGACCCCAACTCGGACGACGAGAAAATCACGCAGCTGCTGAAGAAGCACAAGTCCGGCAGCGGCGGCGGCGGCCTCCTGCTGCACGCGTCCGAGAACGAGAGCTCGTCCTGAGCGCCCGCCGCCCACCCGGCCTCCGGTCACTCCGCGGCGGCCGCGGGGACCGCGCATCCCGTCTTCCCGCTCCTCGGGGCCCGGAGGACACGGCCCCGCCTGCCGGGGGCCCTTTGCTATTTTCTAAGATGTACATATCTATTTTTTTAACCTAGAAGTTGAGCGGGGCGGGGGAGAGAGGCTCGGAGGATGATGAGAAGGCAGAGAAGGGCAGGAAATACACCGCAAGACTAACGCAACAGACGCCGCAGCTGGGCCACCCTACCGCCCCGCTCGGTGTCCTAGTCGCGTCCCCCTTCCCGTGTCCCCCCCGCGCCCCCGCCCCTGTCTTGCGGCCGCTGGCCAGGGCGGGGGCGCTGAGAAGGCCTCTGAACCCGTCGACACCCACCGCGCGGGGGACCTCGGAGCCACGCGGGCGGGCGGCCGGCCGCCACAGATGGGAAGAGGGATGTTTCTCCCGCACAAACTGCTGTGCCGACTAAAGTGGCCTGTTGAAGGCTCTTTGTAAATAAATCGTGAGTCTCACTGACTAGAAGTTACTCTATTGTGAATATTTAAAATGTAAAATGCTTTTTTGAATTTGGTGTAAAAAGATGGACCTCCTTCTTTCTGCGACCCCTTCCCCTTTTAAGAGCTATTCAAACCACGTTCCCCTTTGCTTAACTGGAGAAGCGTAGTAAAGAATGCTCTCATCCTCTCTCGCCCGCTCCCCTCCTGGGTTTGGATTTGATCAATCCCATTTCCCCTTCATCCCTCTCGCTCTTCCCGGACCACCCCTGGCTCTGCACCCGGCTTCCGCCTCCAGCACTTGAAGTAGAACACTTGGAACCAGGACGGGCCTCAGACCTGCCTCTCTGTTTCTCTCCGAAATTGCACAGTCGTTTGTTGCTATTTATTAGTGATTTAAAGAAGGTGTTGGGGAGGGAGGGGCTACAATAGCTTGTATTTAATTTAACTCCTTTCTGATAAAAATGCGTGTTAAAGTAGATGGTGGGAATTGTTACAACTGCTCTGGGTCAGAAACATAAAAATCCATTTAGTTGCTGTAATTGAATTTGAAGTGTTTTGTATCATAAGAATCCTATAGACTATGTAAATTGTTTTCTTTTTTAAGCTAACAGTGATATATTAGCATCTTTAACTTTTATTAATTTATATAAGGAATTCGGTTTGTAAAGAGAAGAAAACCCCCTTTGCAAGACCAGTTAAATGTAATGCACTTTCTGTTTCAGAGGATAAATCAAATTAAAAAACAGTTGAAGACGTCTGTTGCCTTGAATGAAAGGGTATAGATCATTTGATCTCATCAGAGATCTCAAATAAAAGTCAAAACCACAAGTACTTTATATTGGTTTCTTGGGTAAAATAGCTGTTACATGATTATTATTTTGGAAGAGTGGGGTCACATCTCCTGGCTTGGGAAGATAAATGCAGCCCCACTCATTGGGCTTCTTGGAGAGACTTGTCTAGCAGGCTGCCTCTGCTGTCTGTGTTGTCTAATTTTTTCCTGATGGCTTTTTCCTTTGCTAGGAATTCCCCGGGGGTTTTGGAGGAGACCTCATTTCCATACATCCAAGATAGCTTCTCAATTCAGCCCTAGCTCACTTAGCTGAGAGGAGGCAGTGGAACCTGCTGTCAGCGCTGCACGACTGTTGGATGCTAACATTTTCTCCCCAGTAGCCTGTAAGAATACAGAAGTTGGTGGAAAGCTGGGAAACCGGATTTTGCTAAACATTACAATAAAGAAGGATACGTTTAAAGAAAGCTGCTTATAACTGATGTGAAACTCTCTAGGATTAAGGAAGCAATGTCACAGCTTCTGCAGCTGAATTTGCCAAAAAAAAAAAAAAAAAAAATTGGGAATCCCAGGGAGAGAGCTGTATCACTGTCTTGGAATCTTTTTATTTTCAGACACTCAGTTATAGGCTCAGTGAAATATAGTTATCCCCTTAGTGTTTCAGGTTAATGAGCTTGTGTTCAAAGGGAGAAAAATCAATATAATTCAATAGATTCTTCAGGCTAGTGTTAGGTAAAGAAAGTGTGGGTCTGTTTTGTTCCCTTGAAAATAAAAAACAGTGAAAACTGGGAATGAAATTGCCTGAAGGAAATTATTGTAGAATACATTCCTGATGGCATGGTTTAATGGAAAAAAGGATGCAAATCTGCCTTATTTCTTTTCTCTAGTTTGTGAAGTTCCCAGTAAGTTTTAAACTTCTGAATTTCTGTGTTCTTAGCAAGACTAAGGTGTGTGTCCTACAAAGAGGCAGCTATTTCAAAAGAGGCTTTGCTGTGCTGGGGTGATATAATTTAAATCCTAAATAATAAGATCTTTCTTTTCCCTTCCCTCCCTCCCTCATCTTTTTCTTTATGAAAGAACCTGGGTGTGGGGCAAGTCTGTTATCTTAAAGCACCACTTTATTATTTGTTATTTTGCAATAAATGAGTCTCTTATCTACTTTATTTACTTATTTTTACCTTTACCATCCCTCTTCTGTCTTGAAAAGCCAAGCAACTTTTTATTTATTCCTTCTTCCTAAGAAAGCAAAAATCCACAAGATAATTAGAAATGCTATTCCTGAAATATAATAATAAAAACTACTACTATACCAGTAGTAGTAGTAATATAGTCATATCACTCATAGAAACTTGGAACTAAGATTGAAGCTTTTTCTCAAGAAGTAAATAGGGTTATAATATTTATCCCGAGTTAGATATGTGGGAAGACACCTCTTTTAGTTCCTTTAGGAAGCATTCTCTCTGAGCTCCTTATGTTTAGAGCATCGGAGAAGTGTGAAAGTTTGTGGCCTGGCCTCCATCCTACAGGCAAATACGCAGAAGGCAGACAGAGTCTGCGTGATTGCCAGCCTGAGCACAGAAGTGCTCTGAGTTGTGTGGGCAGTAGCCAGAGGTGGGCACTGGGGCCATGCTTCACTGGCATTCGTTCCTTTATTCCAGGGGACTGCAGCAGTGACTCGAGTTTCCAGTTAATTTACTTCCACCCAGGATTCCAGCTGGCCACCAGTTGCAACTGGCCCTGCAAAACTGGGAGTGAGCGAGAAGTGGGTGGAGGGCACCTTACTTAGGTGTCCTTTATCCTGGTTGGTTTGGTTTAGTTCCATGTATGCACAACAGGAATGTTTTTCCTAAGAGTTAGCACGGTGGAGAAGCTGATGAAACACTCTACAGCTCAAGCAAGGGAGAGTAAGAGTTATCTTTCATCATGGCTCAAAAACTTTATGACATTAACCAGCCCTAAGCATCTGATTGAGCCTGCCAATCAGTCATTACAGCTAAAGGGGGTCACGATTTAAAAACAAAAAGTAAGGGCAAGTGACCTCATACACCACTGCTTTTATTTTAACAATTTCCCCAGTTTCATTAAGATATAATTGACAAATAATATTGTGTAAGTGTAAGGTGTACAACATAATGATTTGATATACATATATATTGCAAAGTGATCACCACAATAAATCTAGTTAATATTCATCACCTCACACAGTTACAATTTTTCTTCCTTATGATGAAAACTTTTAAGATCTACTCTCTTACTAACTCTTAAATACACAATACAGTATTGTTAACCATAGTCCCCAGGCCGTACATTACATCCCCAGATGTTTTCTACCTTTTGACCACCTTCACCCATTTCCCCCTGCCCGCCACTTGACCTCTGCTTTTAAAAATGCTTACGGGTAACAAAGTGTCAACATGGAAAACAAAATGAGAAAAACAAGGTTTTGTGTGTGTGGTGAAAGGAAGGTAAAACTGCTTTTTCATTTTTGTTTTATAGTGTGTATGTGTCTTCTCCTGTAAAGGGAAAGCCAGTGAGGTTGGGTGAGGGATACAGAGTGGAAGGGAAGGGCCCTGTTTGTGTCTCTCAGATGTCCCAGCAGCATTCACAATTTGAGGCTCCTACACAGATATTTTCGCAGTCCCCAAATTCCAAGCTCAGTTCTTTGGTTCACATTCAGAGGATTCTGTAACTTAAAGCTCTATACCTTCTTTCCCAGAAGTTGTGGTTTGTTGAGTGGCTTCCCAAGCTTGTGAGCACTGTAATCCACTTTTCCTTTCTCTACTTGGGAGATGGTGGGAAGAGAAGGAACCAAAAATGTTTCCTTCTTCTCTGGAAAGATGCGCACCCCTCCCCACTCAGTGTACAGGCAATCTGGACTGGAGGCCAGCTCTTCTTGTAAATATAGTATCTGGCAACAGAGTCAGAGGGTGCCTTTGAAAACTTTTGGAGCCTAATGTCATGTACATGAGTGTGTTATTAGACCAGCATCAGCTTGGGTTGATCTATACCGTCTTGTCCTTTAAGCTGGTCATCAGGGGCGCGCGCGCACACACACACACACGCACACACACACAGGAGAGGTGAAATTCCACTTGTAACTCCCAGCACTGAATAGCTTAAAAAAGACAGTGACTCTTTCGTCAATCATTGACAATAGGATCGTGTAATAACAACAGAGGTAAGCAGCAAATTTCATCTAGAAACTCGATTTTAGGCTAATCTGAGCAGATTTCTGCACTAAATTTCCTCCCTCTTACCACACAGATACATGCAAAAAGTATTCTTCTCCCTTCCTCAGTATGACTCTTTAAAAAAGTCAGCTCCTCACTATATTTCCTTTTTTGACAGGAAAGCGTGTATTTTGATCTAAAGCATTTAGGCTCCAGCTTCAGAGAGAAATATTCTCCCTAATGTAGCCCTTTTAAAGATCTGCAGAAATCACAATAATACAAACCCCACATCTATCAATGTAAAATATGACTGGCGAATAGAGTGATGGTGTGAGTTGGATGACAAAAGGGCTGGGATATTTTCCTGAATTTTAGCCTTCAGCATTCTATAAATTGGCTTGGGATTGTTCCACAAACTGGAAAGTTTTCCTGAGAGCCTCAGTTCACTCTCGGGTCTTCTTCTTTAATCCAACAGATCATTCACCTCAAGGATGAAATGTCTAGATATGCATCATTTATTTTCTGGTCTGGACCAGACATTTCCATTGAATACCACACTTGGAAAAAGGAAAGCATAATGTCTCTTTGGGGTTTTATATCTACTGGAGGCTGGCGAGAATTCTGATAGAAGCCTCATCCAGGGCTTCTATATTAGTATACTCTGAATAATAAGGGCTAGTTTGGATGAAGATACATTCTAAGGTGAATCCCTTCCTCATTACATGGAAAGAAAGAATTTTTAGTACACAATTTAAATGGGTGCATATTATTTTTGTAGAGGAATCCTACCACCTCCCTAACGTTACTGCCTATGTCTACCTTGGCGAAGCTAAAGGAAATCTTGAGATATAAATATCTTATATAATTGGTTATTACAAGGGAGACAGAGATATCAAGTTGAGAAAGAAAACCAGCACACCTCTATAATATAGTTTTATTTCCCAAAAAAATTCTGAAGGTGCATACATTCTGAAAAAACTATCAATCGTCAGTATGTTGTTTGGGATCAATCTGCTTGTATAGACCACAGAAAAGCAAGGTTGCTGAAAATACATTAACCTAGTTATTACCAGATGGTCTAACCACCTTCAAACAAAGGCAACCAACAAGTTTTCATGCCTCCAATCTGAGCCTCGTACGTGGATCCACGGTTTGCAGTAATTCCTCTAGTCATCATCTGTAGCTTGGACCCTTGTGCTTGATGCTATGGCTCAGCTCTTAAAAAGAATCCTGTAAACTTTTTTTTTTATCCTGGATTTTTCTTCTTCCCTCTCTGAGCTCTTCACTTTGGTCTATAAAGATCTGTCTAATTTTCTCCCAAATCCAAATGGCCCCAAGTGAATAAGAGGGTCTGAGAAATCTTTCATCTTTGCCATAACCAGGAGAGCACACCGTGGTTGAGAGCACGACTGTGCAGCCAGATTATCTGGTCTATAGTACTCACTGGTTGTGGTCAAATGACTCTATCTCTCTGTGCCTCAGTCTTTTCATCTGTAAAATGGAGATGATAATCGTACCTATTTCATAGTGTTATTGGGCGAATTAAGTGAATTAACATATATGAAGTTCTTAGAACAGTGCCTGGCCTAGTAAGCTATGAAAGTCTTAGCTATCATCATCATCATCATCATCCTGAAAGGCCCAGTCTCGGGTCACTCCTAGCTCAGGCCCTGCTGTCTTGTACAGGATAACTATTCAACCAAGGAAAGGATTCAAAGTGAAAGTGAAAAGAGAAGTAGGAGCAAGGGATATTTTCTATTCTGTGACACTTAAAGGCTAATTACCTGTGGTGGTTTTCA